TGCTCTTTTAAACCTCACCAGAGCACTGTTACTGTGAGAAATCTCTAGCGTGAGAGCAATGACCTCCAGTTCTCTGCACCTCAGCAAGCTTTGAATGCTGAAGTTAACTCTGCTGCCTGATTTTGGGACAGGACAATACAGGCTACAGTTTGAATGTAGATGTGAGTTAAAATCAGTATTTAATGCTAGGAAAGACAACTTTTACTTGCTGTCTCCCAGTGTTTTTCCTCTGATACAAATAATAATAATTTTTACATTTTTTTCCTGACAACTTTTATCTAGGAATCTTGGTGTACCTTCCAGAGTGATGCTCTGAGCTTCTCAGCCTCCTGGTAAGAGACATGTTGTCTGACACAGGGGCAATGATGAGCACAGGGGCTGCCACGGGATATTCTGAGCCAATGTTAGAAAGGATTTGAACCCAGCATCCTGCTTCTGCATTTTTATGGTAATACAGACCTACACCTACCTATGCAAAGATTTCACTCCAAGAAGCATTTGTAATAGCAGGGAAGTTAAAAAAAATATAAAAGCAAAGCATTTAATTTTCATAATTTTCCTCATCCCTTTTTATATTGTATTACTAAATGCATTTCTAAGGCTTTCTCGTGAAGGAGGGAAGAAGGCATATTTGTTTTAAGTGATTATTTCATACTGTTCATCCCTGGAAGTGTTCAAGGCCAGGTTGGATGAGGCTTTGAGCAACTTGATCTAGTGGAAGGTGTCCCTGCCCATGGCAGGGGAGTTGGAAGTAGATGATCTTGAAGGTCCCTTCCAAGCCAAACCATTCTATGATTCATTAGCTACTGATTAAAGTACTTTGAGAGATTTATGACATCATTATTTCAAACTCCTACAAGAAAGGTGGGCCTGAAAAAGCATCTTTTTATTTGAAGATTGTGAGATTTGAGCTGTGATAGAAGAGAATACAATTGTCTTGGATCGTTCAAGGAGAACAACTTTCTCCATGTCTCATGACTTCAAATATTAATTTTGTTTTCTGGACCATTTCCTCAAATGCTGCTAATGTGGTGAGGTATGGAAAAAAAAAAAGTACTGAGATAATGGTCCCTAATTTTTTCCTTTAAAGAAAAGGACCAAGATAAGCAGATAAGTTCCAGAACTTTAATGTGTTCTTAGAAGACAGACACCAGTACTGTGAATGAAATGCAGTTTCTGAATGGGTTTTGTGTGTTGCAAAAGTCTGGAAAAGTATACTGATTAAATCTCTTTTGATAGCTGGCTTAGAAAAATGTCCCCAGTGATCTGGCTAGTAAAAGGTTGAAGGTGGCATTGCTGCTGCTGTTTGGCTCTGCAGAATAAAGATCAGCTCTATGACTAATCATCATTCTGGCTGAAAACAGGATTTGAGTGAAAATGACAGTTACAGGTAGTTTCTTATGACTTTTCCTGTCCTCAACCCATATCGAGTTCAGTTTGGATTGCCCTTCAGTAACCTGCTTGTTTTGTTCAGGTCCTCATTTCACAGGAAGACTTACGCAGCATCAGCAAAACGTTATTGTCCATATTTGCACAGAACTAGATGCAGAGCCAAGGATCAGAGAAGAGCCGTTAATATACAACTTAATATTCCCCAAAGGTCTCACATTTATGAAATGACAAATTTGAGCCCTTTGACAGTTTGCAGCTTGGACAGATGGAAAGGAAATGAAGCAGCTGCTCATGACAGCCTTCAGAGTTCTAGCATAAAAGTGAATGGAGCTGTCTTCAATTACATCTGTCCATTTCTGCCAGGTATGAAGGTGTATGGGAAGCTCCTTTGATCAGCAGTTAACTGCTGATGAATGCTCTGCAGATACTGATAAGCCTGCGTGACACTGCGTAAACGTTCTGTGGAGATCATGGATCCATGTACTGTATTGCCCCAGAACACAGATTGAGAATTTAATCAAGATGAACTCTACCTTCTTTGCAAATTTGTTCAACAAAAAGAAGTCTGAATCCAGACATAGTTCCTGAGAGCATTAAAATCCCTATTTTCCCTCTCACCTTTCCCCCAGGCTTTTAGTTCTTTGTAAATAGTTCGGGGCAGAGGTTTCATCTGTGTATGTGAACATATATATACAAGCTATCACATGTACGAAGGCTGCTGGATGCTTCCAGTATGTTGGGAAGCATTAGCAAACTAGATAATCCCTAAAGGTTTTCACCACCCAGCAAGGCAAGGCACAGTCCCATCCCTGACAGACTTGCTTCTCAGAGGACTGGTCCTAAATCAAAGACAATGAGAGTTCCTCATTCCATTATCTTTTTATCAGAGAAACTCTTCCAAAAGTCTACATTCCCCCCTGCAAACCAATGTGTAAAGATGCAGCAAGAACGACCAGAATTTGGATGAAAGGCTTGCAGATCATTTTTGCAGGTTCAAGCTGCAAGAACCCTGCTCTGAAAGCCGAGTCAGTTGAGTGTTCAAAGGAGAAATGGAAAAAGTTGTCACAATTACATTCAGACCTATTTGTTGTTGCTCAACAGCCCTATGCACAGTCTAGCTACTGCCACTACCAAATGCTGAAAACTTGTAGTGGTAAAGTTCAAGAAACTGTTTGAAAGCTTGTCTTTTGACAGCAGATGGCTGTAGTGCTTCAGCCACTGGATAATCTGTCTTGAAATGTTCTTCATCTGGGTTTCTATGCTATCCAACTAGTGAAGTTTCTTAAGAACATGCAGATTTTGTCGCAGACCCAGTCAGTCAGAATTTGTAATCCCAGTGGCTGAACTGTAATACGTGGTTTTACTCCAGGTATGACAAAAATCCAGTCCAGTTTGTGTCCATATGAGTGGCACTGGAGAGACTCCATGGGGGGAGACTGGGGTTGCCTTGTATGTGAAACCGCTGCTTGTGAAGACACTAGCTCATGTTTTAACTAGGACCTGTGCAAAGAATGTCACAGTGCGAGGAAGGTGAAAAGATGGCACACACCCGTACTGATCCTGCCATATATTAAGTACTGCTTTGCTTTACTGCGATTCTAGTCTCCAGTGGAAACATGGAGCTAAGCGAGTCAGAAGTAAGTTCTCCAGTGCAGAAATCTCCCGAGCCTTTAAAGACTGAGAATGTGTCCTTTGTACTTCTATCCTGCAGCCAGAGTCTGTCATGGAAGGTAGGGGTTCTTGCTGTTCATGTAGTTCCATGTTTGCACATAACTGAAGAGGGTAATTTGAAAGGTAACAGATCAAAGATGACACAGGACTTACGTTGTGCATATTGTGAGAAACCTGTTGGACTTGCTACTGAAGGAGACAGGGTAAACAATGGTGACCAAGAAACTTTTGACAAGTACAGAGATAGAAAGAGAAGAGACAGGTAACAGGAGAGCAGCACAACTTGTGACACATGGTTTTTAAAGGGCTTTGAATTGTGTTCTTTTCTGATTCTGCAGACACCATATACACGTTTATATACTACTGTAGTTTGCTGTGAACTGCGTAAGACACTACGTGTACTGCAAGTGAGTGTGCAAGAGCCCAAAGCTAGGCAAACACCAGTGGCCCAACTAGCTGCTGCCTCTTGGCTGCCAGGTGAGCCAAACAGCCAGCGCTTCCTCGCAGCTGCTGGCAGGCAAAATAGCTTCGGGAGCTGCAGTCAACCCCTGGGCCACCTCCTGTGGCGACCTGTTGTAGGAACTTGCAGTGTTAAAGCCCTTCAGCCCTTTGTCGGATGTGACTAAAATTGGCTAAGAGTCAGAAGTTAGTGGGAGGCGGAGGACTGGCAGCTGACAGCAATCACAGAAGCCCTTCCCCAGGCTAACCATGACATGAGTAAGCATGAGTCATTGCATAAATTGATGAGCCTAAAATTATCTACAAGGATGAATACTGCCTAACTGGCCCGACACATTATGGGCTTTCTGCTTACTCTGGAATTGGCAGATTTTGGCTTTGAGTGCAGATAGGCTGACTGCTCGACTCTAGGCTAGTAGTAGCCTGACAGCTCCAACTTCCTTTTTTTTTTTTTTTTTTTTTTTGGGGCTTTTAGATGGGTTTTAGATGGGAGATTCAGCAGAAACCTCTTCCCTACGTTGTGGCCTCTAGGCATTACTGATTTGGTGCTGAAGCTGGTATTTTCTTCTTGTGGCAGCTCCTTGCCCTTTGGCATTGAATCCAAGCTGATGCTCCAGCCCCCTCCCCTCTGGCATTGTTCCCAAGCTGTTGTGTCAGACACAAAACAAATACTCAGTGGCTTAGAGCTCCTTGCATCCAGGAGAAATTGCATTTTCACACTGGCTCTGAACCTCCTCTGCAGAGCCAAAGCAAAATTAATGCGGAAACTGATCTCTTTGCCCCTACCAGACACATCATCTTCAACGGTGGAGCCAAGAAATACTGGAGAGAATTAACCTTTTCCGTAAACCTAGCTGAGATAGGAAATACCCTGCTTTTCACTTTCTCTTCTTCCTCTTCCACAGTTGCTTCATCAGGGAAACCAATCTTCCTTGGAGCAGGAAAGTGCCTTCTTCCTCTTCCCACTACAAATGCTACAAGTTTATTTTAAGAATAAATGTCATACTTATGCAGGATTGCTATAGGTAGTCTTGGCTCTCTATAGCTATTAGCTAGACCAAGTAGGTGGTAGAGCTTGTTAGAGTAACTGCTGCCCACTCAGAAGCAGCCAAGAATAGCTGTAGCCTCTCCTAGGGATCAAGTGTACAACTCTGGAGCAACAAGGGTCCCTTCCTGTGACGCATATGACATTTCCATCATAGCCATGGGAATATGCTACTATGTGAAACTAGACACAAACATCTGGAAATGAGGGAAGCCTGTTACGCTGAATTGACAAAAGAAGAAAGGGCATCAAGGTTTCTGGTATCTCCACCTTCCCCCTTTTCAGGTGTCACAAACTCCAGTGCAGCCCTGTGCACTGTTAACTGGTCAGGCAGAACCCACTACAGTCCCTCTCCCAGCTTAGGGACAGCTTGCACCTGGAATGCTGCCTCTTTCTCCTCTGCAGTGACTCAATTGCATGTGTTCTTGCACAGGCTCCTGGACTGTCCAGCTAGAGAAGGGAGGCACTGTGGTGGTGCTGCGGAGCCTGCTGTGGCTGGGACTGACCTTCTACCACGTCCCAATGACCAAGCAATATGGCTACGTCTACTTTGGCACTGGCGAGAAGAACTTAGATCTGCCCTTCATGCTGTGACTCTCCTGTCTGGGACAAGGGCTTGATATTATTTAGATTTTATACTTAGGAGATTTTTGTTTATTGCTTTTTCTAATAAATGTGTGAAACCTCTGCACTTTGAGCAGGCTTCTTTTGTTCCTGGACTCTGGCCCCAATTCTTTTCCTAGGGCTTCACTGTGTGCAATCCTCCCTCAACTCCAGATTGAATTCCCTGTAATGTGTCACCGCAGATCCTTTAGATAACAAATGGCATTTTCTTCCATGACGAGTGAAGCCCTAGGTCAGAAATCAAACCTAGGCCATCTGTCTGATTACAAAGACACCATGCTTACACAAAAACTCATTTGGAGGCAACATGAATGAATGCCTGCTCTCACACATGAATGACAAACAAAAATAGATTTGGAGTCAGAGTAGAAAGCTGATGCATACTGTAAGGGATCAGTACTAAACCTTGAACTCTAAAATGGCATATTGAAAAGAATATTTTGTTTTTCAGATGTTAGGTTTCACCAAAATTAGAGGGGTCTTTCCAGCTCATGGCACTTAACTGTAGAAAAAAAATTAACTGTGGGCATCACCTGGTCATTTGCAAAATGTGCTCATTCAGGTTCGTGTGAAGGCAGAGGTTTAATCCAGTGACTTTTCTATTAGTAAAGCTCACTGAGCAGGGCTACATGGGCTAGAAGACATAGTAACTTCTGTACACAGAAGAAGAAAGAAAAATCTTTTCCCTTCTGAAGGGCTGTAGGTTTCAAAGCTTCATAAAATAAAAGACAGTCAGCCAGAGATTTTATCTCAGTATAGTTAATGAAGTCTTGGCTGTGTCTCCCAAAGCAAAAAGGTCTTGGCCAGCTCAAGGGGCTGAGTGTAAGGCTTCCATTTCACAAAGTAAGGCTAAAAAGAACCATTATAATCAAATTTGATTTCCTGGGTAATACGGGTTTATCCTTACCCTTTGTTCCTGCCCATGCTGATAGGTATTAGCAGATGATTCTGATAAAAGCAGTACAAGATTAAGTGGCATAGTAATACATAAAAAGTTGTGTTGATTTGTAGCCCCCAGATAAAAACCAAAGAAATGGAGCCAAAGCAATAATGACCCTGATAAATTTAATGAGCCTTGCATGCCAGGCCCATAAGTAGCACTTCTCAAGTAGCAGTGGTCAGTAGCTGGAAGCACACACATGTACTGCACAGGGAGAGAAATGGTGGCACGTTTTAGTTACAGGATGGAAAATTATGCACATCTATCAGCCTCAAACTATCCCAGGAAGCAGCCATATCTCTGACATGTAAGACTTATGGCAAATGTATTTGCAAGGTGAAAAAAACAGGCCAAGTCATTAGGGATGTCAACGTTCTGTATTTGCTAGATCCAGGAGCGAAGCACAAGCCAGGAATCCCTAAGAGGACATGTAAGACGCACACAGGCCTGTCTGCCACCGCCACAGGTGTTCTGCTGCAAGTTATGCATAGCACAGATTATTAAAAAAAATTAATTTCAGTAGTCACCAACAATTTCTGCTACAGCCAAGGAAACAGAGTGCTGTAGGAGTCTTCTTATTCCACCAGTATCACAGTCATGAAAGCCGAAATGAGGCAAATCTGAGTTGAAACTCACATTAATGGGGAATCACCATTCATTGCTGGAAAAAGAAGGAAACATCCTTTTCCAAATGCAGTTGTGGACCGTAGTGAAACAAAAGCCTTCGGACCCTATCTGGCTTTGAGGTAAAAGTCTTTGCCCTCTGCTTTCTCCAAATCATTCTGCACATTGAACTTTGTTTTGCTGAATCTTGTATTCTCCTAGAGGAGCAGATCCCAGCTTATTCACTGGAGACAATATAAAGTACTAATGACAGTTTTGGAATAAGAGAATTGGAGATACTGACAAACTTGCAAAAAAGGCAGAACGGTGGAAAACAGCTGTGCTTACCGACTATGCCAGTTCTGGCCACTAGTGGTTTAAATAGAGAGGCTTGTGCGTATATTTCACATTATCCTTCAACAAAGGGTGTCCGACTGGCATGGTTTTTTTGCACCACTTAGGGCCCCTTTTCCAGATGGGCTTTGCAGATCTGACGGACCAGCGGGTCAGATACCTGTCAAAACAACACAAACGCATTTCAGTTGACTGATCACTGAGAAAAGGTTCCAACTGAAGCAGGAGCAGGCACTGTAGCCTTTGCCTCCCCACATGGCTCTTTATAAAAGGAATAACCGTGAGCAGAGCTCCTTCAATTCAGAAGGGACCACTGGAAAGAAATTCTTGTTTCTTTTGGAACTTCTAAGCTGCACCTCTGTGCTGAACCCAGTGGCACCTGCTTGACTTCCAGCCTCACAAAACAGATCAGGTGTAGTCTCCAGGCTGCTGGCAAAGTTGTCCACCTGTAGCTAAACTGCAGTGCCAAATTCCTTCATTGCAACTGAGTTCAAGACTGAATGCATCCAGGCTCTATGGGAGGTGTTATTTCAACAGCTGGCCTCAATAAGGTAAACTAATTACAAAGGCTAAACTGTGTGAGAAATAAAGTCTCTAAAAAGGGATTTGTTTACTTTTGGTGGATAATCGCTTATTTCTTCTGCATGGGATGGGTTTCTGGCCTAGTCTTGTATTTTTTTATGTCCAAATTTGCTTTAGTGCTGTCTGTACAATACTACTGCAACTTGCTGGTGCAGGAAGTCAGAACCTACAGTCTAAGAGGTACTAGAATGGAATTATCATCACAACTACAAATCTCTGTGAAGAGCAAGAGATTTCGCGGAGGCAAATATCCTCTGCGTTTTACCCATTTGAAGTTTTCGATTTGGCTTTGCAAACAGGCAGGGGATTTCAGACCCAGAATCAGTTACTGGAAATCTTACCCTGTGGCTGGGTGGCCCGGAGTTTTGTTAGGCTTTAAAATCTTTTGCTACCAGTAGAGAGGGGAACGGAGGTCCTTAGAGAAAGAGGAGTCTTTTCAGACAATAAAGATTTAAAGTAAAACCCTACCATAATCTGCACAAACAATGCTCCAACAAATTAGAATTTGGAACAGACTGATAAACTTTGTCCAGCGATGTTTGCATGCCTCTGTTGAGTAATCCCATGGTCTTAACGTAACCTCAATCAGTCATCCTCTCCCCAAACAGCTTTGTTACCTTTTATTTGCATCGTGTAAATTTGAAATATTAAGAACTTTGGACAGAGACCATGTAATGCATTTGTTTGAAGGCATTTGGCACATTCCTGAGAACTACAAAGAAAGCTTGCTATGCCAGGCAGCTACAGAATATAGAACAGGAGCCCATTTTCCTAGCAGTATTTTTCCTCAGCAATCCCGAACAGCACAAATGGAAAAATTAATCACATTTGGAGGTTTCCTGCCACTGAAATGAAGCCACTTCCAAAATGCTTTGCTTTTGCTTTGAGGAGTTTATGACAGTTAAACCACCTAGAAGCAAGAGCAGGAGGGATTTCAGAGACGGTGTAGAGCAAGATCCAGCCACTTCTTCTCCTATGTGTGCATTAAATTAGTCCCTTTTGACCTTTAATGCTATGCTAGTGCATTAGTGGAATCCCTTACATAACAACATCAGGACAGGAAGTAGGAGAGACTCTCCTGTCTCTAATTTCACAAGCAAAGGGAGTTCAGAGTCCAAATGCAGGTCCCCAGTTTGGAATCCGACAAAGAACCATGGCAAGGCAGCTCCTCCAGGAGAAGCTGTAGGGGTAATTTGACAGGCACGTGAGGCTAG